AAGACTGGAGAAAATGGCGGACACTATATATACTACCGAGGGGGGAGGGGAGCGGAGTTTTCCTGCCAAAACCGTTAGCTTTCAATCTTTCCAGCCCAGGCACTGCGCAGGCTCAGCACCCATATGTGTGATGCACAGAGGCCGCGCCGAAGAACAGGCTTTGTCACAAGTACAGCCATTTGTTCAACCGCTTACCGGAGCTGCACCAGTTGACCTGGTTCAGTGGGGGAATGCCAGAGCTTTCTCCCAGATGATACGCAGAGTAGCGATCTTTCCAGCTTGGACTAAGATCAGGACAAGACAGAAATGCAAGACTATGCTGCTAGATGACACCAAGTGTTTATCAAATCCAGCCTAAAGTCCGGAGCCGGCTGTCATTCTGTGGGTGCATGCATACTTTCAGTGAGAACAGGTCTCAAGATCTGCAACAGGTCCTTTCCATTCGCAGCATCTCCAGGTAGGGCTGAAACCTTGGAAAACCACCTGAAGCCAGTGTAGGCCAGGGGTGGAATGCCTGGTGCCTCCAGATGTTTGGGTGACCCATACCATCAGCCTTGATTATTGCCCATGCTTTTTTGTCTTGGGGGTGGGGGTGGAAGGAATGGAAACTGTAAGGACCAAGGCTAGGGAAGGCTGAATCCGCAAGGTACTTCCAGGAAGGTTTCCCACTGTCCTGCCCCCACAATCCATTTAGATACCATCCCCAACGGCTCCGAGCTGCTCTCATTGCTGCAGACCCACATACGATGCCCATTCCCTTTAAAAAAAATCATCTAGGTCAGTGGGCATCACACCATCTCTTGGTGGCAGATCCCATGACCATGTGCAGAAAACCCATTTCCCTTGTTTGTCCCGGAACCAAAGCCAAGCAGTCGCGTGGGCACACTCCCAGCTTTGAGCTTCCTGCACAAACACAGCAAGGCAAGGCTGACCCTCTCTCCCCAGGCACAATGGGCTGCGACCTTGGCGTTCCCAGCTTGGAAGGAGTGCTCTGCGGGCTCCTCCAGGCAGCCATAGCAGTTCTTGCCAGGGCTGCTTTGGGCATCCCCGCAAAGGTGAGACAAGGAGAAGGGGACACTGCTGCCAACAGAGGCAGCAGCATTAGCAGCTCCCCCGGAGCAAGCCTGGCCGTGGCAAGGGAGCCATGCTCGGCCACCTACACCCATCTGCTGTCTCATGCAGGGCTTGCGTGCAGTTCCACCAATCAGGAGAGCAGGGCAGGTTTTAAATCGGCCCCTTCGAGCACTATAGCTCAAGCCGTGAACAACGCCTTGGATCCTACCTTGAATCCTCTTCAGGATGTGCCAGCTGGGGGGAAAGTGGGGGAAGATTTCCCATGAGTCTCTCTTCCTGCTGCAGCTTTCCTAGTGCCATTTCCCACACCGTCGTAGGGGAGATTCCCAACCCTCCAGGACAGATTTTGGGTGGATGTAGTAGACTGGCAGGGGAGGGGGGAATTGCTAAGCCATGCCTCCCTCTCCTCCTCCTCCTCCTCCATCACACCGAAGCAGGTGTTCCACTGTATCAGAAACTAGCAAAAAGGACCTGCTCATCAATAGCAGGCAGATCCTGGATTTAACTGATGGCCTTTCTTCTGCCAACCACTTTGCCACTAGCTGTTCCTCAGGCTGTCCACCACAGGGTCCATCAAGGATGTGCTGCTCAGTCTACTTCCCAACCACATAATTTTCAGATATCCACCCAGCGATCCACCCTGTTTCCACATTAAGCTGTGACAGATTTTTAAACTGTCCGGAAACACATATTTAAAGCCTCTGAGACTGGAATCTTACAGTTCAGGGGAAGGTCCACAGGGATGCGTTGCTCTTTCCTACTAAAGGTGCAGAGAAAAGCCCGCTTTTGTACCTTGCCCTGTGCCCTAGCCCAGCTCTCTTTGCCATCAAGGCCTATGTCCAGTCAATTAGCTTTACGACTGAAACGACAAACAAGCCATCATTGCCTCGGTCTATAGATAGCATCCCCTTTCAGCCAAAAGTTCCAGTGTCCCCTCCGTTACAGTAGGTCCAACTGTCCAGCTGTCTCCCACAGCTTGTCAGGTCCCACCAAGTCCAACTGGCCACCTTGGCCTCAAGTTTCTTTGAATGCTTTGCCCATCCCTTTTCTCCTCATGTTTAACTCTTGGGTCGCATATGCCTGCCCTCCTCCTCCTCTTCGTTTACATTCCCACAAGTTCAGAGGACCCAGCTTGGTTGTCTTGCAACGGATTAGAGAACAGCGGGATGCCCTCCCCTCCATCTCTGCTATGCTCACAGGTCTCCTGTCCATACGCTCTTGGTGCTTCATCACCTTTTACCTCCCCCACCCTATAAACATTATTTTGGAAACTCATCAGCAGTGCGGTCCCAATAAGCTTTTTTCTGGCGTTCTCAAGGTCTGGACTTGTCAAACATTCCTATATTCTGCCTCATTCTTTACAATTGTCTTGAATAACTTCCTGTAAAACAGGTGACTTTCCCACCTCCCTTTACTGGATCCACAACAGTCTGTGCAGCTGAGTTGAAATGCAAATCATAAACATGTAAGGAATCAAGTTAGTGTTTGGACAGGCTATGCAAACTCTTTGGCTTAATCAAGTAGCAGTCCTTTTTCTGGTGGTTGTGCGACTGGTACCAAAGGAAGTGGAACAGGAAATTCAGTACCGGGTATGAAGTCATGAAATCTATACCACTTCTATCTATACCTTTGAAGTCATAACAACTTCCAGAAAATTAGCTCCTGTGCTAAGAAGCCTACCACAAGCAGTACCTGTCGGAGTGCCTCTCCCAGCCCCAACCTACCTGGACACTACGTGCAACTTCTGGGTCTCTCTCCATGTGCTGACCGCTCAAGAGCCTCAGGAGGAGGAAACTAGGGGAAGGACCCTTCCTGTGGTGGCCCCCCTGCTGCGACCCACCTGGTCCTGGATTTGCTGTTTTTGGGGGCCGGTTAAGACAGCCCTTTGTGGTGATCTCCCTGGTTATCCGGGTACCTTTTTCCTTTCTTCTTGGCAGGGTCTTTCTATTTTTAATGCATTTAATTCTGTTTTAATTTTTAATGTTTTAAATGTTTTATGTACAATATTTGCTTTTATATCCTGTTGTGAACCACCCAGAGAGCTTCAGCTATGGGTGGTATAGGTACGTGGTTGGTGGTGGTGGTGGTGGTGGTGGTGGTGATACCACAAACATCTTGAAGTAGATTGTGTATAGATGGCTTGCAGTATAACTCCCTGAACTCCTGACCATGAGCTGTGTTACTTGCTACCTGGGAGATGAAGTCCATAATGCTTAAAAGGCAGCAGATTGGGAAAACCTGGTCCACAACCATTTGGGGTTGCCAGGCTAGAATAGTCACCATGAACCTTCAAGCATTGCAAACTGTGGCATAAAGCAATACGCACACACACACACACACACACACACTGAAGTGCTGAACACTTTATGTTAGAATGATGGCAGTTTGCTCCAAAATTTCTGCTCTTTGGTCAACTTTTCCTCCTCCATATGCCTTTCCTCAGATATGTCATGTAATTTATACTGGCAAACTGATTTTAACATCATATTGAATGTTCTTTTTTACCCAGTCTTAAGTTCTCATATCTGGAATAGGTAGCAATCATTTAATTCATTATTTTTAGTCTTTAAAGCATTGCAATAAACACATTTGGGTTAAAACCCCCTTTGTGGAATCCTTTGGATGCTACATTTGAGCATTTTGGGGTACAGGTAGTCCCCAAGTTATGAACGTTGTTACAAGCAACTTATATTTATGAATGCACAGACTGTCATAAGCCCTGTATGAATATCTGCAGTGAAAAGCCAATATCTCTAGTGAATCTCTATCTCTAGCAAAAAGCTGTGAATGTCTTTAACAAAAAGCTGTGACTATTTCTAGGGAACTACATGGCCACTGATGACACACCACCAAATGTATTGCATAGTTCCCTAGAGATATTAATGACTTTTCTCTAGAGAGAAACACAGCTTCCTCTAGGGAATCACACAACGTGTTAGGCAAGGCATCTCTCAGTGGCCACATGGTAGAGATACAGTATTTACAATTTTTCATTCCATAGCATCCGTACTCTAAACTCAAGTGGCAAACCCCCCTCTCCAGCAGCACAATCAAACCCTGACTCTCCAGTACCAGGTCCATCATCATCAGTTAATGTTAGGCTTAATGTTACCTCAAGAATGTTCTAACCTATTTTAAGAACTGTTTCTTTTGTTTTTTACAATACTGTAAACCTACACATACAGTATACAAACAGATTCTCTTCAGTACCTATAGTTACTGTATTATTACTGTATTATTATCATGTATAGTTGATATCATGTATAATTATTATCATGTATTATTATGCTGTATAGTGTTTAAGATGTTTTAGTGAATATGGAAGTATTTAAGTGTTTTCTATGCACAGAAAGGTAAAATATATACATATACTAAGAGAAACATTTGGCTTACTCATGTGATCCAACTTACATACAAAACTCGAATAAGGATGTTCTCAGGAACGGAACTAGTTCATAATCTGAGGATTACCTGTGCATGGCAAGCCTCCCTCCCTCTCTCACACACACGCACGCACGCATGTACACACACACACACACACACACACACACACACACACACACAGTTTCTTCTCCCAGGCATTGACTGATATTGTCAGAAGGACTCTATACAAAGGAAGCCACTACTCAACAAGAAACGTGTATTTAATTAAATGCTTTGCAAAGATACATGAATAAAGCTATGCGTATGGCTTTTCTTTCGTGTGTGTGTGTTTATTTTTTTAAAGAAACAAAGAAATAGGAGAGCATAGTTTTGCAACAAAGAAAAGGACACCAGCAGTAGGTGTGTTTCCCCATGCCCCATGGAAGAAAAGGTAGGTTGATATAAAGAGCATTCTGTACATGGTATAGCCATATGGGAAACATGTACTGTCTAACATTTTCCCACAGACACCAGAAATAGTTAAATTCTATCAAAAAAGAAGCTGAAGGTAAGAGTCTTTTATTTTCTTAGGATTTTACAGAAACCATTTTAGCACCATTCCCTTTTCTTTTTTTTTCTTTTTTTACATTTTATTATTATTTAATATTATACTGCCCTGCCTATCTCCATTCTTGGAATTATAACAGAAGCATAGCACCTTGTTGTATCTAGAACAAACCCTAGATTATTAAATGCATCCCAGCTTCTAGAGATGAGGTAGCTCATGCTAAGAAATGATGGACCATTTGTTTGCTTTGATAAATCAAGGCAAGTAAGTCACAATTTCTGGTGATGCATGACCAGTTGTTGAGTGAAAGTTTCTCTCAGCACCAGTGAGTCTCTAATCTTTATAATGATATTTGTTTGGGGGTTAATACGTGGGAATAAATGACAACACACATAAATGAACAATACACTTGAGGCAGTAGGGAAATCCTGATGCCATGGAAGTCATTCAGGAGTTTTGGCTTTGATAAGAAAGTCTGTAACTTTCAAGAGGTAATTGCTCATTAGAGGTTACTCATTCGATAGGAAACCCTTTCCCCACCCAATATTAATAGTGAATTATTTGAGACATATTTTGGAATTGCGTGTTTTTCATCATTGACATATTACTAGTAATGGGAATTATGCATTGAACTAACTACATTGGGATAGCATGCAGTCAGCTGTGAGAGATTGGAAGAATGCAGAATTACAGCGACAAACAGAGTGAATCGCATCTACTTCAACACACTGCACTGTGAAAGGGTAGGCAAAGAAGCACCTTTTGTGGATTGACCCCTCTGATCCAGGTGATAAGCCAGGCCCAGGTGATCATGGACATCCTTGTGGCTGTGATCCAAAGAAGGACGCGTGTGCATACCTACAAACTCTTTACACAGCTTTGCTTCCTGATCTGCACTATCACTGGCTACTAAGTCTGGCGGCAAATACTTTGCTCACAAAGCCCACATCCCTTCGCAACTAATATTGCACTGCGCTGAAACCTTTAGCAGTGTTTTGTTCAGCTGCTTTGACATTAGTTATGTTCACGAAGTTTCTGCTGAGTGAAATTGCTCCCAATTGAATATTTGCAAACATTCCAGGTTTCGTGAGGAAAGCTAGCTTTCAGTTTGGCTTGGGAAAAGCTGTGGGTGAATTCTAGAAGGACAAGGAGAGATGTGGCAAGGCAAAGGGACCAAGACCTGGAAATGTGATAGAAAAACTTCCAGGAGAGGGAGTTTCCTGCAGCCATCCAATGCAGGAATAGGAGCAGCATTGGTAATACTGAGAGGTCACTCAGAAACAAGGATTGGTGGGGAAGTATTCCTGAAGGGAGTTCAAGGAGAAAGTGAGGCATAAGGGAAACCTCACACAGGGGGTGGGGTGGGGGGTTCTCTGATTAGCAAGAATTGGAAAGGTAAGGGAGCTTTGGCATCTTTGGGACTGTGGCTAGGGGCCTCGGGGACCCCACGGCTAGACCCTGACAGGCCTCCTGTGCTTTAAGAACTGCACAGAGGGGGAAATTCTGCCGAAAAGGGCTCCTTCATTACCACAGCACCATGTCACAGCTAAGCAAAAGTGTCCGCATGAAACAAAAGGTACATGCAGCCAGCCAGTTCTTGAGCTGCAGACTGTGATTACCCATCAGGCTGAATCCTATATCGGTGCACCTGGGAATAAGCCCCACTGAATTCAGTGGGAATGACTTCTGGGTGCACGTTCAGAGGACTGCCGAACTAATACCCTCATCTACAATGCTGCACTGATGCGTGGCTGGTGAACAACTGAAGATCTTGCATATATCCATCTATATAGAATACTTGCATCATATGATTTATGCTCACTTATGCTGAGCAGAAACCACAAAGAAAAACTTCATTATCATCACTTTAATTAGGAAACATATGTTATTTTTTTTTCATCAAAGGGTGGTCATTTGTCCTTTTAAGTCCTATTACTTCATTAAAATACTGACTTGGGACAAGTAGAATGCAAGTTTGTAAGTAAGTAAAATAAATATTCTAAGGAAGGCCAGGGAAGTAGAAAGAACTGTTATATACAATGCTGACCCCAACATCAGCTTCTGCTTCAAGAGTCTCAGGATTAACTTCACTCAGTCTGCATTCTTCTGCTTTGCTGCTGTTCCCAATGCTTTTGGATGGGTAAGATTTTCCCTTTTTAGTGACTTTCTTCCCCTCCCCCTTTACACAAAACAAACTGGCCCAATCTCTACTCCAAACTCTTGATCCGGATTCCCAATGTCCACAGGAGCAACATCAATGATAGGTAAGCGTGCCACGTTCTGCGTTCTGTACTCAAGGACTGTCCTTCCCACGTTCCCGTTGCGTTTCTGGAAGAACACGTGGAAAGAAGAGGAATGATCTGTCAAGTGCTCAGAGTACCAAGCGTTAAATCTAGCTTAGCTTACAAAATCGGTGCCCTGGTAGGCTTAGCTAATAAACATCACCCAGTCTAAAGCCATTGCATCCCACACCTGTGGATGCACACGAGTGCGGGGGGGGGGGGGGGGCTGTCTTGCAAAGATCCGGATTGGGCAGCCTATTTCTTTCTGATGCACTGCCATGGCTCCTTGCGGAGAGAGCCCTGCTCTTCCCCTCCTCATCAGCCTGCCTCGCCGCCATTCCAGCCTGGAGAGAATCGTGCCAGCAGGACAGGGAGAGGGGATGCTCCAGAGAAATCCCAGCTGTGGCCTCAAAACACATTTCTAAGGTCAGAGCTGCAACCCCAGCTAATCCCAGGCCATCCAATTCCAGGACAGGGCTCTATCCTCAGTTCGCATACTGGTTTGAAACGCACTAAGTCTGCCTCAAAATGAGAACCGAAGAGATTCCGCGCCACCCCTTCCCCCGTCCAGGGATGGCCCTCCTCATGAGATGCCGCTGCTGAAATGCCCCTGCGCGACAGCATGTAGTTGGCAGCGGAGGCAGAGGGCATCACGGCTGGTTCTATGTGGCAGATGCTGCAGTGGGACTCTCCGTGGGTTAACTGTAGCTGTGCCACGTAATTCAGAGCATCCCCTCCCCTGCCACCCGGAAGCACACTGAGAGACAAACCTGCTTGTCTTTAGCTGAATTACAGAGCCCATCTGGCTGTGACTCTGTATTTGTCTGCCACCTCCCAGCCCTGCTGTAAATTCCTTGAATTTAAAACTCAGTGCCATGGGGTTCTTTGTTTTATTACAAAGAGAAAGCTTTTCCCATTAAGCCTCGTGATTAAAGTGGTGCTGAAAAGACAGCGGCAACAAGGACGACAAGGACGACTTACAGTGCAGCTGTCATGCAGAGCGACGTATCTGAAGCGGTTGTTTCCTTCAGCTTTAATCTCGACATCATTAGCACCCTTCAGAACCAAAGACTTCTTCAGGTTCTTGGTTTGGTCATCCATGTAACCTACACTGTTCTTGCAATGGTAGGTGATATTCTGAGAGGCTTCTTTGGACAGTAAACGTAGGAAAGTCATTTGAGTGACAGCCGTGTTGGGCGACTCCTTATCACCGTAGACAAACTGCAGGGGCACAAAGAAGGGTAAATTAATCCATGCAATCCTAGAAAGTGAAGTATTCAAGCACCTACAGCAAACTGAGGTGTAACTGTAATAATCTGCTACACCCTGGGATCATTACAAGTTTAGAAACAAATTACTCCAAAAAAGCCTCCCTCCCTCTCTATGAACACACACACACACTCTCAGAGGGGGAGGGGGAGGGAGGGAGAGGGAACATGTGTTGATTTATGCTAGATTTTTAGTTTGGTCTGGAGCTTGGTTTTACCAGTTCAGATCAAGTCTTAGTCATACTTAGAGCATACACCTTGAAATCAAGAGGTTGTAAGCTAGTGATGACTAACTTGTCCTATTTATTTCAATGGATCTGTTCCAAGTATAACTTAAGTCTTGATCCAACCCACTGTGTATTATCCAATTGTTTTCATAGTTCCAATGTTTAAGCCACAACCGCAGGGTTGCTGTTGTGGGGATAAGACTGAGAGCAGGAAGAAGAGACTGATGTAAGCCACTTTAAAAAGTCAGGATATAACACTAATAAAGAAAGAAATGAGCCACACCGTCAGCTCTGTCTGATGATCATCCAATAAATCATTTAAATAAATACTGTATTAAAATCAGATGTATTAATAATACCATGTGTACTAGTTCTCCAGTTTACTTTTATACCCAACATTACGTTCATCAGGGAATTTATTAAAAATAGAAGGACATATTTTCAACATCAAGAAAATCATTATTTTCATATCTACTTACCTGTAAGCCCCTGTTCATATCAAGTCCATACCAAATAGGCTTTAGTTCAGAGGACCTACTAGTCCACCATGTTTTACGTGGAATACTAGCTGGGTTTGCAGATATGCATGATTCTCCTGTTTCCATATTACAAAATACTTTGATAGCATCTTCCACACAACCTTGGTTAGGATCAATCCAATATTCTCCTGCAAATGCCAAACAGGAAAGATTAAAGAAGGGCCAACTGTTCCAGGTTGGGCTCTGGCTGAGTTTTGGTGGGCAGAAGATTAACATCATGCAGGTTTTGAGTGAACTGGTTTCTAAGGGTCAAATTACATGCTTTATTCATTTGGTGTGCACTGGAGCCTGAAATTTGCTGTATTTAGTGTCATTTTGTGCGGGTGAAATATGGATTGGGACCAGCATATAGGAGGGATGATTATACTAAAGCAAAGAAAATGATCCTGCTCAGCTACATAAGACACACTTAATGTAATGTACAGTTTGCCCTCAAGGCTATGGTCATATGTATACTTATTTGGAAGTCCACCCCTTTTAACCACGTGGGATTCACTGCCAAGTAGAGAGGCATGGACTAAATCCATAGCCCTTCTGCTTCCAGGATGAGTCAACAAGCACGGTGCGGTACCAAACAGATGGAGCAAGTTCAGTATGGCAAACGAGGAGGAATGCAAAGAGGTCTTAACAGTCTGGAGAAGGAAGGAGACACATTCTGTATACAAAAAACTTGAGAGCAGCTAAACTAATCCTATGTTATTTCATTCAAGTTGTACAAACTTTCAAACATGGGACAGTTTAATCCATGTTTACACCATGTTGCTCTTTCAGCAAATACCCAAATACATTTGCATAATCCTTAATATTTATTTCGTTTATACCTATGTATCATTTAGCTGGTTCCATTCTGATGATGGGAATAAAGGGGAGGGCTCCACATATTTGAAGCTCCATTGGCACTGGTCTGTTTTCTGAATTTGTCCTAGCAGGAGTTGGAATGCACTGACTTTCTCAGAGGACAATCCCCTGCAGCAGATGCTTTGGATCATTTTTCTTTTCATTTTAAGAGGTCTGAAAGGAACTTTAACCCTAACACAGGCATCTTCACCAGCATTCCTTAGAACAGTCCCTTCTGCTTTCTTCTTTTTGGGTCACCTCCTTTTCTCATGTTGTGGCTACCACAGGCAAGGCTGATGACAACCCAGTTTCTACAATACCCTGGTGCAGTTGCAGGGAATATGTGGGGAGAAGAGACAGAGGAAGCACTGCTGTAAAACAGAAGTGCATTGCTAGCATCACGTACAGTGTGGATCCCACCTGCAGAAGAAGCTGAGTCCTAACTGCACATCAGCCATTACTTTCGCCTTCAAGACCTTCCACAAAGCGCTCTGAGGTCCAGGTGCTGTAGGCAGTCAGGGGAAAGGCACCCAGGACAAGGAGTTTTTAGACCTTGTGAATATTATGTATGATGCTGTCATGGGGAAGTGCTTTGGGGAAACCTCCATATGATTGCTGTAGTAGTCAAACGGGTTTATGGTCAATGAGCAAGCCTGGTGAGGAGAAGGGGTTAAACCTACCACTCTTTTTGGAGGGGTGGCACAGCCTTAGATCGTCGCAAGTACGGGCAGGGTGTTTCTTGGATCCATCTGGGCTTCGCATAGTTTCAATCTGGCTACTCAGAGACTTCAGTGTAGCATGGACCCCCGGATCGGTTTTATTGCTGTCATCTGGGGCAGCTTCATCTTCAGTGAACTCTGGCAGAGGATCTGATAGACCATCATCATAGTGCCCCATAATATCACCAAGCGCAGCTGTGAGGTGGCCCGCAGGACCTGGGGGACCTGGGGGACCTGGATCACCTGGGGGGCCCTAAAGTCAAAGGCAATGAGAGAGAGAGAAGGTGGTCAAGGTCGTACAAATAAACAGCTGGACACAAGGTAGAAGGAACTGTGCTAGCTGCAATGGCAACTACTTCATCACATGGTTTCACCTAAGGGAGGTACGTCGTTTCAAAACTCCCAACCACCATTATTCTCATTCCCAGCCAGTATGTGTACTTGCCCTGCAGACTGGGGGTGATTAGAGTTGTACTCCAAACACATCAGGAGGGTACCAGTTCGGAGAAGGCTGGTCTGCAGAGCCCCCCAATCATATGTACACACACACACACACACACACACACACACACACACACACTTAATCTGGAGTGAGTCCCACTGAACTCAAAGGGGTGTGCTTCTGGATAGACCTGCATGGGTATCCAGTATTAGGGCTGGGTCCAGGTTCATCCTGGATCAATTGCACTGAGAGGAGGGAACTTTTGCAGCTCCCCCTTTCCTTGAGAGCTCCTTCAGCCCCCTGAAAATGCTACCGGGAGGGTCAGAAGTCTCTGCTGAATGGACGAACTTTGGTTTGGATGTCCCCAGAATTGGGCAGAGGGGTCTTCAGCAGACAGAGCCTTTCCTCTTGAGAAAAGTTCCTTCCTCTTCAGGAAGGTGGGTCCTGGATCAGGCTTTAGCTTCTCTGGGCAGCATCAAATGCTACAGCATCACTCTTGCACGTCAGAGCGCACTGGCGTCAGCTGCTCCAATGCACTGCCAGAAGCTGGTTGTGCAACTGTCAGTGCTGTTGGCATTGCGCTAGTCATTGTTTATGCTAGTGCAACATAATTTACATTAGCAGGACTGCCCATACATTCCTCTTCGGTGCAACACAGACATGGTGCAGCAGAAATATAGCAACAGTTATGTGCTTATTAGAAACAAGTCTATAACTCATTTGTCTGCCATAGGCACTCGAGGCAATTCATAACAAACCAATCCAACTGAAGAATAGCTTAAAAACATTATAACAAATACTTTTATGCATTGACCTCTTCCTCTCAAGTTAAATCAAAGTCCAAAGAGAAATACAAAGCAACACATTTTCCAGCACTACAAATTGCTGCCAGTTCCTTTCCCAGATTTAACACCAATAGCACTAAAGAACGGTAAGGTACTGTAGGTGTTGGCAGTAATTTGCAAGATGGGCAGAACACTAGCCTGATACAACCCCTCTCACCCAATATGATCCCCATAATTTACCTCAGGTCCTTCTTCTCCTAAACTTCCTCTTACACCGGGAGGTCCAACTGGCCCAAGTGGTCCGGGATTTCCTTCTTTACCTGAAGGTCCAACTGGACCTGGTGGGCCCTGCATTGGGAGAGAATTTTTCACATGAATAATGCTGACAGCACTTCTTACACCCAACTACAGTTTTTCCCTTTGCCAGCTGAGAAAATGGTAGTTTTGGCTTTCCCTCAGGGTCCCACACAGTGCCCCCAGTCTTGCTGCAGCTGTGCTCAAGAGAAGCTTGGTGCCGGCTGAGCCTGCGTAAGCACATCCACATCCAGGGATGCATCTAGTTCCTCCAGCAAGGCCTGGTGAGCATTTGGACACGAGTTTGCACTGAGGTGGATGTCTAAATCTGCGCTGGTTCAGCACACAGAGACCTGGGAAAGTCTGGGATCTGCTCTCTGGACTGGGAAGTGCCTTTCTGGTAAAGTCATTGATTTTGTTCCCAGCCCTAAAGCGCAAGGACTGACTGGACACCAGAAAGAGCTCATGGATAGCTGAGCTCCTCCTTACCATGGCCAATTTGCAGACTAAGAAAATAGGGAAGTGGGGGTCAATATTTTCAGGGTTTGCAAGAAAAATTGAGTAAGACAGAGGAGCTGCTGATCCTTGCCACTTGCTCTTCCTTCCATCCGCTCTTCCTTCCTTCTTTCCTTTTTAATAAAGCTTTCCCATGGAAACAACCTATAGCCAATTCCGTCCAGCATAGTCCCCTGGCACAATGCAGCATCATTCCCAAAGTTGAATGGGAATGGGCAAGGGAGACAAAGGCCACTCCCCCAGTGCACTCAGGAATAGCACTGTATTAATTCCCAGGGTCTGTTGGGGCTGCTACTTTCAGCAGCAGGAAAACTGGGAAAGCAGCAGGAAAAAAGGAAAGTGGGGAGGGCTGCTGGCACAGCTCCTGCTCATCCCAGCAAACCACCAGTCCTAACATTGGGAGGCTTCCTTTCCACTCTTTTCTTTTACCCCTTTGTACTCTCCTTTTTCAGACTAAAAAAGCTGATGCTGAAGGTGCATCAGCTGCTGGCTCCCAATTCATCTGGGGCCAATCCAGAGTGCTGGTTCTCACCTTGCAGGCCCTTCAAAGGCTTGAGCCCAGGGTACCCACAGAACCTCCCTCTCTCACTTGTACCTATTCATAGGCTTTCCTCCAGGTGGCCCTGGGGTGGCTACCAGTGAAAGGGGCTTTCCTCAGTAGGAACACCCATCCCAGTGTGCTCCCCAAATATGTTCGCTTTGCATCCCACCATGACTGTCATTTGGCTGCCAGGAGAAATACCCCCCCCCACCCCAGAACTTTTAAATCTACTTTCTGTCTACTTTTTATTCTCTTTTTCTCAAGGGATACATTACACCTTATTTTATAGTTATTTCCATTGTTCCGGTTATTGAACTTTTAGCTTCTTTTATTTCATGCTGTAGAACATTTTTACTTCAGGGCAGCCTATAAATGTTGTAAATAAGAAAGGAAGGGCACAATCCTTCCTTTCAATGCATGTTTAGACAGAAAAAGTCCTATAGCTCTCCATATTCCTCAGCCACTTTTTTCCATCTGTACATGAACAGAGCCAGACCTTAAATAAATCTGGAAGTGATAGGACCTGGATATTCAAGGCCAGAACACATGCTATAGTCTGTGCCAGCTGTCTGGGCTTTGCTTACATGCAAAATCTGGGATGTTGTTGAGCAGTTGAAGGTGAACTCTAGAGTCTGAACTGGGTAATGTAATTGAAAGTATTTGAAAAACACAAATGAAGATGCAGGGCGTATATAGTTTATCCTTGAATGTTTGCAAAATTTACCTTTTACTTGCAATTCAACCATGAGGGATAGGAGCTTGTTATTTGGGATTGAAAATGGAGCTCCTCTACAAGCAAAATTCTTTGCCGCAGCTTAGATTGCATTTGGAATTCTACATGCAAGGGAACTGGGGATGATGAAGTGCCTCAAGCATACACTTGTTTAATAAAAGTACATCGTAATCCCCATGCAAAGTTCATTTACTCTGAAGTCAACAAACGCCATCTGTGCAACAGCAACCTTCCACAGAAAATCTAATTGTTTCCACATTTTTATTTTGTTAATATGATATACTCACTCTAGGGCCAAATGGACCTGGAATCCCAGAGCTGCCTTGTTCACCAATAGGACCCTACAGAGAAATACACATGGTGACTTTTCCATCTAAAATTAACATTAGACTTGATTGTTAAGGAAGAAGGGGGATTGCTTTGGAGCACTGTATGTGTGTGAAAATATATAAGATGTTTCAGGTGTGAGCACGATGACTCCTTGAGATAAGTCTCAGCATTTTTACCATGCGATGCAATAGCATCAACATGGAGATAACACAAAGGCGGTAAGGTGATGCATTGGTAACTCCATATATAGACCAGTGAGGAAGAGCGGTGACTGTTAAGGCACTAGTCCTGCTGAGGAGGTCAAATCTCCCAGATAGCAGCACCACTCTAAGTGGTGAGGGAGGATGCCTCTCTGAGCCGCTCCACCTGCAGGCTCGCCCCTACTCCTCATGAAAACATTACTCACACAAGGGATCAGAATTCAAGAGGGGACACAGATTTTGATGCTTCTCTGCTGCATTTATATTCTGGATTCCAGTGGGAATAAAAGGATGTAATTCCTCATCAAAGGATGCAAAAACAGAATGGACCCTGCCTATCCTTTTTCTCGTATTCCACATTGTGCACTTGTTTCTATGCCATTTCTCAGGCTGATAAAGAGTCATTTGCCATTGCCTGTGGCAAGCACCTCCAGACAAGCGGGCAGGGACTTCTTCGTTTGCTGTCCATACGTGGGAAAAGAGCTGGTCCCCTGCTCTTTCATCTTCTTGATGTGGCAAAGATCGCAAGCACTTGGGATTGGGGACAGGCAGAGCAGTAAACATGCCTCTTTTCAAGGCACATGCGCAAACTTTTTGGGGTGGTGGGAATCTGTTAAAAGGCTAATGGAGCATTGCAACCACAAGAGATTTCCTAATAATTTCAGTGGAGGAATCAGTAGGACAACATATCCACTCAACAGCTTCATGGACTCATTGGAGAGGGTATCGATACATTCAGGGAAATGTTGGCGGGGGGGGGGGGAATCTGGTTAGTGACTTACAGGAGGTCCAGGGAGACCTTGAAGGCCAGTGAAACCTCGGTGACCCTTCTGTCCCCTGTCCCCTCGATCGCCATTGTCGCCTTTGTCCCCACGAGGACCTTGGGGACCCTATACGTAGAAAAGAAAAAGAGGAGAGCATAAATCAGACATGCCCAGGAGCTCATTGCCAAGGTCGAACTTGAAAACTTTGCCTTACAACAGAAGAGCACTGAATGCAAAGTTTCACCTGCTAGAGAACCTTCACACAGCATTCCCCATCTTTATTTATTTCTTATTAATACCTCATAAAATGAAGTTTGCTAGGCATTTTACAGTTTAAGCCATCATCATCATGATCATCATACAAATGCAATCACAATAAAAGACAAAGCAACACAGCTTACAAGTGTACTGACTTAGCATAAATGCAATTTCAATATTATCATTTCAACAGAATTTCTTTTTTCTGGTTACTTCGATTAGCAAGAAGCAGCATTAAAGAAGAAGAATCTACTGAATGACTTACAATACATTTTGCTACTGACTTACCTTTGATAAGTCCGAGTCTCACTCAGTTTAAAAATGCAGTTATATACGACACTATATTTACCTACTGAGCTCCCTTTTAATCTATAATAAAGATGCTTTACATATCAGGGCAGATACCAATTTCCTTCATGTTAATTTAAAAGACTAATTTAAAAGACTGGAATAAAGCCAGCCAAGCAAAAATTAAAGCCACTACTATTTAAAAAAAAAAGCACACCACTAAGAAAGCAATGCAATCGCTTGGCAATTTCTGCCATAGCCAGCTCATACTCGGTCAGTTAAAAGAATTTAGGCAAGACGTACAGGCAAACCTCGTTTTCCAGCCCGTCCAGAAGGACCCATTGGACCCCGTGAGCCCTACCGGAAAAAAGAATGGTTCTTTCATTAATAGATTTGCTGATAAGCTCCTTAACTCATTAATTTAGACAGCATGTTTCACTTTAGAGCTCTTTCACAGAACATCTCCAAAATGTGGTTACAGTAATTTTCATCTGGGAAATGATGAAAAGGGCGAAAGTAATGTGCTAACGAGCCATTTGGACCATGGGTGTTGAATCTCCTTTACCCTGAGAGCCAAATTCTGCTTCAGGAGCCTTATTCCAGGGGTGCGCAGGGGAGAAGTTTAAACCAGAGTGGGGGCCAAAGTCAAAATGGGGCGGGGCCAAATACCCTAAATGCCAAGGTCTTTCAGAATGTCTTTATGCTGAGTCTTAGGAGAGACATTTCAACCTTTCTGTACGGGAAACAACTTTATGGAACTAGAAAACCACCAAATGATTGGTTGTTTTGGGGAGAGGTTTCTGGTAGGAGTAGGGAGCACTGCTCTCTAAGGAAACCCAAGGAACTGGGCTGGGAACCCAGGACAGCTGGGTTTGACACCTAGGACTGAGGTTCTGCAACTCTACACTGGAGAAATCCCTGGAGATTCACCTTCCACCTCCTCTGTGACCTAAAGCTTGCAATTGGTTCCATTTCAGCATGAAGTCAGTTAAGTTGCATCAAGCCTTTAACATGGAGTTGAGTGCAACTGGGAACTGAATTGCTTGATAGGTGTTCAGACCTGGATTAATCCATTGGGAAATCTAACGGTCAACCAGGGGATCAAAGCCAGGCAAAGCTCCGAGGAAGATTAATACTCACTGGTTCACCTCTCTGACCCGGATCCCCTGTGGGGCCAACAGGTCCTGGAGTGCCAGGAGCACCCTGTGATCCAGGAAGGCCTGCAGGTCCAGGTTCACCACGATCACCCTGGAATAAAGTTGAATCCAACTTTTCAGTCATATCAACAGCAAGGTCATTCTCTGAGTGTCAGTCATAATGTAGCAAAAATGGCCACATGCACACACAAGTGGGCAGGCTTGGAAGAGTCTCCTGGGTTGCAGAAGTAAAAAAATACTCTTTAGAAAACAACTGCCTTCTGCGGGTGTCACCAAAGAAGAGCTGGCCTAGAGTGTCTCAGTGCCTGCAGAGTCTCTGCTGTGGGAAGAAGCCAGAAAGCCGCGAGGAAGAGGCAGTGGGTTATCTGGGAAAAGGACACAACGGGCTGTCTAGAACCCTGAGTAAAGCACTTCACACTGTATATCCCACAGGCACACATAGAATAATGGTCACATGGTTATGAAAACAACAATTCCTAGTCCAGAAGTAGGATTATTCTGGAGAAGAGTCATGGTTCCCACTCTCGACAAAAAGCCTGCACCCGTGTGGGCAACAGTTCAAGGTAGTCCAGCCACACAAGTGGGTGCTGAGGTTATTTTAACAATTACATTTCTATGCCCACAATAGCCAAAGCTCTCAATGGGAAGAACAAGCCAAGGCTATCATTAAATCAGCCCCAGGTAACCACCCTGATTCCGTTCCAACCTCTGGCACTCCTTGTGCGTTGAAGAAAGGCTATTTCTTTCCAGTGGGACTGGTGGCTTCCAAAAGACTGGAGAGGTCATAAGGAATTACAACTCCTTACTTTTGGTCCTAAGACAGTCACACAACCCAGTAACAAGCCTTCGAGCTTCGGTTCTTGGTGATTCCCTGGCATAGCTGCAGTCCTTCTGCTTTGAAACTGACCACACGTCTAGCAATCATTTCTAATTCAGAGTCCTGATTGTGATTTTACCAAACAACTAATTTGTCAAGCGTAATAGAAGCCTATTCAAGACCGAGAAAAAGACATAATTTCTATCATAAGTCTTTGTAATGTTAAATATTCTTACCCTTTCTCCGACAGCTCCATCTCGTCCAGGTGTACCATCATTACCAGCAGGACCCTGAGGTGGGTAAAAAGTGAAACCATGTATGAACCATGACACTAGCAATGACTTAAAATAGTGCCTATGTTTGCTACTAGTGTGTTGAAGATTACATAAAACTACGTCTAGTAGTAGAAAATACAGTGGACACTTACAAAAGGCAGCTGCGAGGAACAGTTTCACAATGTGTTTTGACAGAGAAAGAGTCACTTCATTCCTTCATGAAAATTGTTCGACAAATACTTAAGAGGAGGAGGAGGAAGAGGAGGAGGAGGAATTGTAAGTAGTCAGAATAAGAGCCAGCCTCCCTTGAGGACCAGCTACTTCACGTGGCCATTCCTGGCCATTCTTCAGTCTCCCTGCTAACCCATTCAGATGGCAGAGGAACTTTTCAGTTGATTCAGCCTTGGAAATCTATTCCTGTAAGGAAGTACATCTTGCACCAGACCCAGTATTTTTCTGGACCAAAAAATACCTTTTCTCTTGCTCAAGCCTTCTAGGTACCATGTTTGAAGCACTCCTGTCATTCTTTAAGAAAAAGATGGGCCCACAGTATTCTTTTGCTGCTCTGCTTTCATCTTGTTATTTTAATGTATTGCTCTTTTATTTATTAGATTTATATCCGGCCTTTCTTCTTTTTTAAAGAATTTAAAGGGGCTTACATCTTTCTTAAATGAACAGTGCAAAGAAATAGAAGAAAACAATAGAATAGGGAGGACCAGAGATCTCTTCAAGAAAATTGGAAATATAAAGGGAACGTTTCATGCAAAGATAGGCATGATAAAGGACCAAAATGGCAGGGACCTAACAGAGGCAGAAGAGATTAAGAAGAGGTGGCAAGATTACACAGAAGAACTATAAAAGAAAGAGCTTAACGTCCCTGATAACCACGATGGGGTGGTCACTGACCTCGAGCCAGACATCCTGGAATGTGAAGTCAAATGGGCCTTAGGAAGTCTGAGCAACAACAAAGCTAGTGGAGGTGACAGTATTCCAGCTGAGCTATTCAAAATCTTAAAAGACGACACAGTAAAAGTGCTACACTCAATATGCCAGCAAACTTGGAAAACTTGACAGTGGCCACAGGATTGGAAAAGGTCAGTTTACATTCCAATCCCAAAAAAGGGCAATGCCAAAGAATGTTCAAACTACCACACCACTGCAATCATTTCACATGCTAGCAAAGTTATGCTCAAAACCCTACAAGCTAGGTTCCAGCAGTATGTGGACCGAGAACTACCAGAAGGACAGGCAGGATTTTGAAGATGCAGAGAAACTAGAGATCAAATTGCCAACATATGCTGGATCATGGAGAAAGCTAGGGAGTTCCAGGAAAACATCTACTTCTGCTTCATTGACTATGCTAAAGCCTTTGATTGTGTGGATCACAACAACTTGTGGCAAGTCCTTAAAGAGACGGGAGTACCAGTCCAACTTATTTGTCTCTTGAGAAACCTATATGCGGGTCAATAAGCAACAGTGAGAACTAGACACGGAACCACTGATTGGTTCAAAATTGAGAAGGAGTTTGGCAAGGCTGTATACTGTCGCCCTGCCTATTTAACTTATATGCAGAGCACATCATGAGAAAGGCGGGGCTAGATGAATCACCAGTTGTAATTAAGATTGCTGGGAGAAATATCAACAACCTCAGATATGCAGATAATACCACTCTAATGGCAGAAAGTGAAGAGGAACTAAAGAGCCTCTTGAAGTGGGTGAAGGAGGAGAGTGCAAAAGTTGGCTTGAAACTCAGCATTAAGAAAACTAAGATCATGGCATCTGGTCCTCTCACTTCCTGGCAAATAGATGGGGAAGAAATGGAGGTAGTGACAG